GCCGCGGGGAGTGCGCGCGCCCGGCGTGCGTGGAGTTGCCAGGGACACGGCGGCGCTGGGGCGGCCCTTTGTGTATTTCCAAACAGAGGGCGCACCTGTCTGCCCCCCTCCCCCGCCTCGCCTCCCGGCGTTTCCATGGAGGTGGCTTCAACGGCTTCAGCCGAAAACAGAGCTAATTGGCGGCGCCCCTGGAGCCGGCGGCGGCCGAGCGCGGACCGCCCCGCCGACTCTGGAACCCCCGGCCCCGCGCACGCACGGTGCCAGAGGGACGCGTCGCCGCAGACCCGGTGGCCGCCCTGCCGCTGGACTGCGCCGCCCCGCCAAGATGGCCCTCACTGCTCGGAGGCTAGTTTGGGGTCTCCCCCCGCCCCTAAAAACCCCACCTGTGAGGGCTGGTAACCTGCTGGCCTGGCCAGCGGGGTGGGCAGTGTCCGAGGCCTCCCGCTCCACTTCCCACCCTCGGGAGTGGAACCGCAGGAAAACCCGCAACACCGAGCGATGCCCGAGAAGCCAGAATTGGGCCGGCTTGCTTTTGTGACGCCAGGCTTCTCTTGCTTAAATACTACCTGGTGTCCTAACTAACTGCATGGTGGATCATAAAGCCTTCGGCAGTCTGGACACCGTGGTGGGGAGGAGGGAGAGGGAAGGAGGGTCATTGCGGGTTTAGACTAGTCAAACTGGAAGGGGACCGAGGCAGGCTAGACGGTGAGTCCAACGTGGAATGACTGAAAACTATCCTAGACATTTGATTCCCTCTTACTTTCGGTGCAGGCGAGCAGTTAGCGGCGTGTTCTAGATTTGATTTGTTTCTAGATTCTAGAAACGGTTTTTAGATTATTCAAACGTTATTGAGACCTAAGTGGAAGCGTTCTCTTGACCCACGTAAATTTTACACGTAGAGAAATTAACACTTGGGAGTAACTTATTAAAAATCGATTTAAAGATCAAACCTTTTGCTATACTTTAATATTGTGTATACTCCATACACCCCCACTCTCCTCAGAAGAAACAAAAATAATAGCCAATGGAGCTGAGATACTCCGTTTCTAAAATGAAGATTTCATCGATTTAATTTTACAAGTGAGACGTTTGCTTTGTCAAAAGAAAACTGGCTGGCCCAACATTTATTTTCCTATTTCTTCAATAAGGATTTCTGAAACTAATCTCATTTTCTATGTGTTTATAGGAAATGTACTATATATTATGCTAAATTTGCTTTCCCAAATAGCTGGAGGACACAATACCTGTATTTCCAGGTAGTGTACATTTTGAAGTTTATCAGCAGCTTTTTTGTAATTGAAATATTCATGATTACCTTGCTTCGATAATTGAAAAAGTCGTTTAAATAACAAACTCACTTTTATACGCACAATAACTTCATTTTGGGTGACTGGTAGTGTTTCAAGCATATTTTCTATTTTAAGGCTTATTCTAATCATAATCGAATGTCCTGATATTTTTTAAGTAACTTTTCTGATATTCTAAAATCCAAAAATTCCTTTGTAGTACATGTAAAACTTTTAAAAGAAAAGGAACATAAACGTGTCATCATTTTTACTACATCTTTATTATTCATTGCAAAATAAGAATGGACATAATCATTTAAATAGATCTTCTAGTGGGGAACCTGACAATAAGAAGTCAATTTAAAGCGTTTTTATAAAATGGATATTAAATGCCAAAAAGAAAATTGAGTTCATCAATATGCCCTCCTATCTTGCAAAAAGATTTCTTATCATAAATATTAGAAGAATAACACACATGGGGTCTTTTCTACAATGATATCTTGTCAAAGTTATATATTGTTCTCAGTCCTGCTGAATGAGTGTAGAATTGCCTTGCTCTAAACAAGCTGCTTCTTGTTCCAAAATTAGAAGTATAACACCTGTTGTAGCTGACCATGGCCTGTTTAAGGAAATATTTTAGGTATTTTGAAAACTAATCCAAGACAGACCCTCCGTGTGCCAAATCCCCAAATATAGCTCACTGCTCAGGCCATGTCAGAAGATCCTATGACTTTAAACTGGATCAAAACCTACAGAAACTCAGGTACTTTCAAGGGTTGTATACTTGTTCATTTTAACTTCTGATGCTTTTCAAGAAACCACATCTGACTGAAAATGTTCACTCTTAGAAAACCATTTCTGATGAGCAAGAGCAAAGTACCCTTTAAGCAGACAATTAGAAACCTAGTGAACTTGACCAAATTCATCTTATGCAAATATGTGGATCAACTTTATTTTTCTTGTCCACAGTCAATCTCTTAAGTCTGTTTATTTACCCTGACAAAGTACTGGATGAAAATTTTTGTTTTTGAAAAAGTGATAGATTTTTTTTTCTGGAGACTTCTTTATAATCCAACTTTAGGTGTTGTGGTCTGCAAGAGGGCCCGGTGGTCCCTGCCTCCTGGTATGTACACTCCTATGATCACCCCCACCTTAGGGGGTGGTCTGAGTGACACATAGGAGGAACACTATGTCCTGTGAGATGAGGTTATGAGATGCTGTCAGCATTTCAGATGCTTTCTGTCAACCTTCCTGTTAGCTCTGAGGCAAATCCTCAAACCAGTCAAGCTTCAAATGACGACAGCCCTAGCTGAAATCATGTCCGCAACCTCCTAACCCTCTGCCAGAAGCACCCTGAGCTTGGGAGCATCTAAGGTTCTTGACCTTAGAAGCTGTGAGACAATAGATGGTTATTGTTAAGCTTCAAATGTTGGAATAATGTGTTACACAGAAGTAGATAAGTAATACTGATCTAATACTCCATTGTCTTTCTCCATGAGGCAGACAGGATATATTTCAATGATTCTAATTAACATCCTTTGTGGCTTTACTAGCTCTCTAGTAAGCATTAGTTGAAATTTTTTTAAATTTATAAATCATTTACAAAAATCAAGTAGCCCAAGAACGCCTGGGCTTTATGCCATGTATGATTTTAGTTTGTGTTCTACAAAAAATTAAGTAATTGAATACTACCAAAATAAAAACCAAAAAAAAAAGCAGTTTTACACAGAAAGATCTTTTTCTCTCAGGTCCTCTGTGCTAGGGATTACAGTCCTCCACATCCCATTTTAATTAGGGGAGAATGGCCACCCACCTCTGGACCACATTTCCCAACTTACCTAGAAACTACGTGTGACCATGTGATTATTTTAGGCCAATAGGGTATGAACAGAATGAATGATGTTAACTTCCAGGTCATCTCCTTCAAGATGAAGCCTGCCCTCCATTGCCTTTTCCTGCTTGAAATCAAAGTGGCTTTGATCATAGCAGGCAGCACTTGAAGAGATAACAGAGCAAGGATGTACAGGAAACAGGGCCTCAGAATGCTTCCTGCCTCTAGTGTTAGCTCACCCTCAGGCTGTCCTGGCAGAGAAAAATAAGCTTAATTAACCAATCATTTTGTTTCTGTTGCAACCATTTTGTCTATGTATTCTAGCATATTTCCCCCCAATATTAGACAGATATAAAATATGTAAGAGCTACTTCCTGGGTTGAACAGGACATAATTGTTCAGGAAAGCTTTTTCCTGAAAATTCAGGAGTCCCAAATGTCAGGGGACTTCCCAAATGGTTTCTTCCTGTTG